ATCTTTAGAGGGACATTAAGCAAACCCAAGCACTCACAGTTGTTATGCAGAAACCCTGGGAGCCTGAATCACTCTCTGCATTTTGGTGGATGTATGTATGCATATGTAGCCGTATAAGTTAGTGTTTGTATGTGTGTGCATTTAGGTATGTATGCATGCATGTGTGTAAAGATGTGAGTATTTATGTATGTATGGATGTATGTATGTATGTATGTATGTATGTATGTATGTATGTATGTATGTATGTATGTATGTATGTATGTATGTATGTATGTATGTATGTATGTATGTATGTATGTATCATACAACATCAGAATAGTGATGCAGTGGATTCCAGGTCACTCCGGCACACCAGGTAATGACAGAGCTGACAGATTGGCAAAGAAAGGAGCAACACAAGAACAACCACCTACAGCGACAACCCTCCAGACAGCAAAAACACTGATAAGAGCTATAAACAAAGAGACTTGGTTGAACAGATGGGCCATGGGAGACACTGGAAGAGAGGTTTATAGACATATGTCTGGCCCTGATCCCAATGACAGCATTAACCATCTAACAAGAAGGGACCAGGCCACCATCTTCAGACTTAGAACGCAACATACTCCAATCAATGGACACCTAAACAGAATACAGCCACAACACTCCCCAGAGTGCCAGCTATGTAACTACCCCTACGAAACTGTTGAACACCATCTCTTTGAGTGCCCAAAACTCAGTGAGACAAGAAGAACGCTACTCCCTCCGAGACCAGACAAGTGGAACACCTTGTACGGAGGAAAAGAACAGCTTGTGAAAACATGCAAATTCCACTACATGGCATTGGGCCAAAGGGCGAAAGCTCATGCGCCGCTGGATCGATAACAACAACATGTATGTATGTATGTATGTATGTATGTATGTATGTATGTATGTATGTATGTATGCATGCATGCATGCATGTATGTACGTACGTATGTATGCATATGTATTTTTGTATGCATGTATATGGGTGTACTTATGCATGTGAGTGTATATGTGTGGTTGCGGGTGTCTGTATATGTGATTGTATGTGTGTGTATGCATGCATGTGTAGGTGTGTATGTATGGAATGTGTGTGTATGTATGTCTATGTATGTATATTTGTGTGTTTTATGTTGTGCATGTATATCTATGTATATATGTGTGTGTTTTATGTTTGTGTATGTATGTAGATGTGTGTATGTATGTATTACGTATGTCTGTATATGAGTGTGCATGTATGAGAATGTAAGAGTATGTATACGTGTGAGTGTGTGTGTGTGGTTGAGTGTGTTAAGATTGTGTACATATGATGTGTGTATGCATTATTAAATAATGTATATTTCTTTATTACATGTATAACATGCATTATTGATAACAGGCATTGGTGCTCTGAAAAATGAGTGCTTAGATGGGCCGAATGTCAGACGGGCCTGCGTGCCCAATTTGTAACCCTTTTAAAATAAAGTTTGTTTATTCGTTCGTTCTCTGTAAACAAACTCATGCTATGATGGCACAATGGCTGTTAAAGATAGTTAAAGGGTAGAGACAGACTTTATCAAAGACAAAGAAGATGGCAATTTATTGGGCATATCATGAGCAATAGTGGACAGAGCATCACCAAACAAGTACGGAAATTGGGGGAAACAATCAAACGAGATGGAGGACTAGACTGCAAACCCTAAGTCAGCGGTTCTCAACCAGTGGGTCGAAGCCCCTTTGGGGGTAAAATGACCCTTTCATAGGGGTCGCATAAGACCATCGGAAAACACATATTCACTGAAGTTATGGAGTAGCAACAAAAATAATCTTATTGCTGGGGGACACCTCAACATGAGGAACTGTATTCAATGGTGGCAGTATAGGGAAGTTTGAGAATGTCCTAAGTGATGTTTAATGGCACCACAGGATGATGATGACTTAATCACACATGGTTTTATCCTAGCAAATCCTTTTCTCTGCTGCAAAGAGACTGCTTGCATTTTCACATCAAAAATAAACTCTGTAACTCTTGGTCAACCACCAGGAATCTCCAAAATAACCGAACCCCATAACTTGAGACCATAGGGCTCCCTGTGTGGGCTCCAAGGCCCCATTTTTGGGTTTGGGGATACCCACTGCCTCCTAACAAACAAAATCATTCCATAATAGGTGACTAAATAGAAATTTGTGGAAAACTGACGATTTGGGCCAAAAAGACATAGATAACGCAACCTAGCTGCTAATGTGCTAACCACTTTTTCAGGAACTAACAGAGAAGCAGAACATGTGGTAAACAGCTCGACCTCTTCACTATGGAAACCCCCTACCCAATCTATCAACAAACAAACAGAACAGGGCAAAATAGCCAACCACGGAAGCTGAAGTATTGGAAAGTCTATACTCATGGTTGTCGGCGTCTGTGGCTTAGGCGCTACGAATGCGCTTTGTAATGCCTTGCGTTGGTTTCGACAGTGGTATCGAGACGCCAACCGTCCAGAAAGCAATGGCAAACTACCGGACGCAAACTTGCCTAGGAAAACCACAACAGCCAAAAAATGTTGGGGTTGGTTCTGCAATGTTCTGTAAAGAATACGCAACTAACTTGTAACTATTATACTCACGGTGCCACTGGACATGTCACTGATGGCATGGAAGTCAAGGCTCTCCTTGCAGCTGTTCAAACACGTGATGACCTTCTCAGTCTCTGTCTTGCCCCGCAGCACAAACAGCCCGGCCATGTAGCCCTTATAGAAATGGTTGAATGTGCTGTCAGCCCCTGGAAGATGCACACAATCAACTACCATATATTTTCGTGAATCATCCCAATTTTTTTAAAGCCCAGAATTGGGTAATAAATATTTTATACATGTTCCGTACATAATATGACCACTAATTTTAAACCTAAGATACTAGGAAAATCATAGCGTCTTAATCGATGTAAAAAATGGTATATCAGTCGAGAAACACTGTTTTCTTTTTCAGGTGGTTGAGTTTTCTGTATACAAAGGAGCTGTGTTATTTCCATACGTAAGAGAATGAAGGGAAAGACTGGCACTCAGACAATTCCTGTGTATGCTCTGCCTTTTCTTCAGTGGCCATTTTATGCTGGGACAGCTTAGGAATTCAAGTAAATTATACAATTTAGCCATTAATATAGGTTCAAAGATAAGACCTTTGGGCCACAGGCAAGAACCTTTATCTTGACCCTTCTCCATGTCCCAGGACCCCATTTTCTTCTTCTTCTTCAGCATTCCAAGCCCTTGAGGTTCATTGCTGCAGATATCACCCGCCTCCATTCATCTCTCTGGTTGGCCTTCTTCTTCAGCATTCCAAGCACTTGAGGTTCATTGCTGCAGATATCACTCGCCTCCATTCATCTCTCTAGTTGTCCTTCTTCAGTATTCCAAGCACTTGAGGTTCACTGCTGCAGATATCACTCGCCTCCATTCATCTCTCTGACTGGCCTTCTTCTTCAGCATTCCAAGCCCTTGAGGTTCACAGCTGCAGATATCACTCGCCTCCATTCATCTCTCTGGTTGGCCTTCTTCAGCATTCCAAGCCCTTGAGGTTCATTGCTGCAGATATCACTCGCCTCCATTCATCTCTCTGATTGGCCTTCTCTTTCCAGTTGGTGACACCAAGTGTTTGCAGGTCTGTCTGGACAATATCTGTCCATTGTCTTCTTGGTCTGCCTCATGGCCTATGACAATTCATCTCCCTTGTGTATACAGTTTTCACTTCTCTGTCATCTGACACTCTCTCAATATGCCCCAAACATTTCAGTCTATTAGTTCTCCTGATGTCAGTGATCAATGGTGATTTAAACAGGACCCCAATTTTAGGGACAAATATAACAACAGACCCACTGCCCTTTAGTAAGCATGTTTTAAAAGGTAACTAAATAGGGACTTGCTGAAATCGGATGTGTTTGGCAAAAAGTTGCATATTCTGCAGCCTGACTTTAAACCACAATAGAACATTCTAACCGTCCTGCAAAAGGCACATATAGAAGATCTAAACTAATTTTCTGCCATTCTGAAAAGCAGAGGTTTATTTTTTTTATCCTCAAATGGGCACCAGGTCATATCCCATTTAGTCTTCTTTTAGCATTTACCAGCTGTAAAATTCTGGTTGTTCATTCACTTCTGAACTTTAATCTTGTTCTAGAATTTGAGTTTTGCATGCACATCTGTTTTACAAGTCTGGCTTATTTGTTTGAAGACTGTTGGTTCCTTGCCGCTCAGACAAATTCACTACCACTTCAAAGGAAACACCCCTAATTAGCCATCTTCTACCACATGCTTGTCTGGGGGTGGGTCTATTATCCCCCCCCCCCTTCCCAATGCCATCCCACAGAGGATCCTAGTTATTACTATCTGTAGAGGTGGTGGTGAAGGACAATGACTCAACAACTGTCTACATCTCTCCAGTCATCCTAGAAATAGGTTCCCTACTGAGGGCCTGGCCAACATAGGTAGATCATGGCTTTTTTTTTCTTGTGGTACACAATCCTTTTTGTTTTTTTTTAGGCATAATTTTTTTACAGCACTACCATTACAGACATTTTGTGGCGAGTACCAGACCTTTTTTCCTTCTTTTGTGTAGAAAAAAAAAAGCCATGGATAGGATTTGTCTGAGAGGCAAGGAACAAATATTCTGCACACAAATAAGCCAGATTTGTAAAACACATGTGCATACGAACCTCAAGTCCTGGAACAAGACAAAAGTCCAGAAAGAGACAAACAATCAGAACTTTTTATTGGAGTTCACTGCAGACAACTGAAGAAGAAGAAGAAGAAAAAGAAGAAGAGGAGGAGGAGGAGAAGAAGAAGTAGTAGTACAAGCGTAATATCCAACATCTGAACAACTGAAGAAGAAGAAGAAGAAAAAGAAGAGGAGGAGAAGAAGTAGTAGTAGTAGTACAAGCGTAATATCCAACATCATTCTATAAATATTTCTTCTTCTGCATTTGCCAGATTTAAAAAAAAAAACAAAGTTGATGCCAAAAACAAACAAACCTTGCCAGCAGGCACCGACTGTCAGCTTCGTTGTATGCACTTTCCTGGTCTTGTGGAGAGGCCAGTCGTCGAATGATTTCAAAGTTGTCTTTGTTGGTCACCAGCAGTTTGCCGTCAATGTACAGGTGTACCTGCAAACAACAATACTCAAACATCTGTTAACCAGGTTCAACAATCACAATTCATTTATAGCACTGGGGTGTCACATATACTAGGTGACAGCATCAAGGGGCAAAATGTTCAGTTCACTTCCTCGTAACAGACTGTGCCACAGTGGAGTCCCATATACTACGTGACCACACCAGAGGGGATACAAATTCCAGTTCACTTCCTCATAATGGAGTCGCATATTCTAGGTGACAGCATCAGGAGATGTGTGTCCAGTTCACTTCCTCATAACAGACAGTACCACAGTGGTGTTAAGTATATAAGGTCATAGCATCAATCAGTGGTAAAGTGACAAGTTTACTTCCTTCTTGAACAGACAGTGCCACTGCTATGTCACATGAATTATAGGTCATAGCGTCAAGAAAAGTGAATGGTTGATTTCCTCAATACTTTTCCTTTCTAGAAACAATCATTGGTATAAGTTCTGAGATATAAGGTTAAGTAAGGACTAGTTCATTCTTTATGTTGTCTTATATCTAACAATGGAGCATAGGAACTTAACCAACTTATGTCAAGCTCTCCTGTTCGGTTCTCATTTCTCTCCTCTCTTCTTATTTTCCCCCCATCTATCTCTGATTCTCTTTGCCATATACCTTAGGTGTCTCTTTGCTGTATACCTTAGTTCTCTCTTCGCTTACTTTAGTGTGTTCCATAGAAGGTACTTCCAAGTTAAACTGCTTTTTCAGCCTTTTATCTCCCAACAGAGCATAGGTCTCCAACCTACTCACACAAAGTACACTATTCACGACTGGGTAACATCTGCAGTTACTGCCTATCAGAAAGCCGGTGTTACACACAAGAACTAGCTATACCATTAATAAATTTATTTTTAACATCTGTCATTGTTCTGCACTGGGAAATCCACATTCACTATATTCTGATGCCACATCTTCCTCTCTCCTTCTTTGCCGCTCTTCTTCTCCCTTTCTCACACACACAAACACAAGAACGTACAGAAGCATTATTAATCTACTCCTTAAAATCTGCACCTATACTATAAAATGTCTGTCCTCTCTTTTTCCGGATGTCGCTCTCTTCCATAAAAAAAAAATAATTTACTCTAGCATTATTATTCTACTCTTTTATCTTCCTCTTTCCTTTTTCCTCCCACGAACACACTTAACCACATACAGGAACTTATCTCAGCATCATTAGGCTGCTCCTGGATATCCACACTGACTGCATAATGAGGCGACCTTATCTTCATCCTTCACTCCTTCCCCCAATCACTCTCACACACACAACTCATCCCAGCATCATTATGCTGCCCCTGGAAATCCACATTCACTGTATAATGAGGTGACCCTATCTCCCTCCCTCACTTTCACACACAACTCACTCCAGCATCATTACTCTGCTCCTGGAAATCCATATTCACTGTATAATGAGGTGACCTTATCTCCCTCCCTCACTTTCACACACAACTCACTCCAGCATCATTACTCTGTTCCTGGAAATCCACATTCACTGTATAATGAGGTGACCTTATCTCCCTCTCTCACTTTCACACACAACTCACTCCAGCATCATTACTCTGCTCCTGGAAATCCATATTCACTGTATAATGAGGTGACCCTATCTCCCTCCCTCACTTTCACACACAACTCACTCCAGCATCATTACTCTGTTCCTGGAAATCCACATATCTCCCTCCCTCACTCCTACCCCCCACTCACTCACACAACTCACCCCAGCATCATTACTCTGCTCCTGGAAATCCACATTTACTGTATAATGATGCCACTTGTCATCGGACACCTGCGGAATGCTCCAGCGGAACTCAGCCGGCCTGAAAGCCTGCATCTGGTCGGGCGATACCACATCTTCGGCTTCCTTGCGCAGCAGCAGGACCAGCTTTTCTCCATGGATGTACAACCCGTAGTGGTGACGGTTCATGCCTGGCAATGACAAGAATGGCAGCCTGTGAGTCACTATGCCATCAGCCAGTTGCAGAACAATGGCGGATAATTATTGTGAAGGTGCAACTGATGCGAACAAACAACAACAACAAAAACAACAACAAACAAAAAAACGACTGAGATTTATTAACCACATCATCCATTGATTCTCTGTACAAAAATATCAGTCTAGCATATGTCCCTCTGCACGACTGGCGGGGAATAAAACCAAAAAAAAAGTCCTATCAAAGACTGAGATTTATGGAGAGACATAAATGGCAATTCATATGAGTGAGTCAAGCTGCTGTCTGTCAGTTCCAGAACAATGGCAGACAATTATGGTAAATGTGCTAAAATTGGTTCTAGGTCATGTCCTGGGAAGTAAAGAAGTAAAGGCGGTCAGCGTGATGATGACCACATCACGCATCACATGTCGATTGGTCTATACATAATACAAATCTAGCACAGTATGAGTGTGAGTCATGGACAATGACAACAGCTCGCAGAAGCCAGCTTCAGATCTCAAAAGTGAGGTGGTCCAAGTGATGAGGAGGGACGCAGTTCGCAAGCAGACAATAAGTCATGATCTAGAAACCCAAGCCTTACAAACTCGAGTGAATCAGTCACAGTTATGACTGTTTTTATAAGTAAGCAAAATGGGAGAAAAATCTGCCACACATTCGTTCAATTTCAATTAGTCACTCTGACTAGGGAGCTAGCCCTGATCTTGCCAATATCGGTTATAATTATGGCAACAAACTATTTCATTGTGTAGTGTTTGGTACTAGAATTGTATGTCTTCCGTGTCTATATGGCTGGCCAGGTCGTGTTTGTCTCATTGTGCAGGCTTGGATCTGATTTAAGTCATGTGCTACTTATTGTGCCATCCGCTGGTGGTGCTACCGCTACTGACTGAGCTATTCATGGTGATATTCCTGTACAAGTTCTGCTTTTTTTTTTAGTAGCTGATATCGATGTTGTCCCGCCATTAGGTCCTCAGTTGCTATTGCGATCTCCACCAGGCTTCGTCGGTATTTGTATTCGTCCATATCGTCACATGATATTTCGAGGCCGTCTTCCTGTTGCTTACAGCAGGCATAGAAGTTGTAACAACCAGGAAGCAGACCTCTAGGAAGACAACACTCTACCGTTTCTAACTGAAAGAGGACTAAAACCGAACAAAGCCAAAAAGAAAACTGCTGACAGAGAAGTCTGGTGATCTCTCTGGTAAACCTCTATGCCCCAGTGTAGCAGAGGATCGACTAAGTAAACAAGTGAAAGGTTAGCTACCATCATATGTCTGATACGCCACTGGCACACAAAAAAGGTCCTGCCAAGGACTGACATTTATGAAGACATATGAATGGCTACAACATTTGCAAATGTACATGATGGTGATGATGATGACAAGAAAGAAAGATAACAACTGACCTTCTCCATCAGACATACAGAGAATATGTTCCTTGGGTGCTTTTGACTGGCTGGACGCCTGGACAGGTCCATGCCTCAACCAGACCGAAACTGTAAAGTGGTCGTGCAGCATGTGAGTGAACACAGACTCTGGGACCTCCAGGGCGTTGTTCTGGCCGTCAAAGGAAAACACCTGGTCCATTTCGTGTCCATCGTCTGTTGGGATGTTGTGGGACCACTCCGCGGTGTCTGGAGAGGGCAGGAGGTCTACGCTGTCGCCACTAGCACCTGTGAGCAGAAGGGAAACAAGAATTCAAACAACAAATATCAGGAGAAAAAAAACAGAACATTATTTTACATGTGACTTTAGATGCAACAAAAACAGAGATAGAAGGCATACACTGCAAGAGAGAGAGATTACAGAAACTGCAGTGGCAATAGGTGATACATTTTATGCAGCTTCTGCAGAGTCCTGACTTGAAGACTATTCTTAACCAGTAATAACAAAAAAGGAAGGAATAGAATAACAAGGAAGAAAGACTAAAGAAACATTAAGAGAGAGAGAGAGAGAGAGAGAGAGAGAGAGAGAGAGAGAGAGAGAAGGGAGAAAAAATAAATGAAAAGGTTACAGAAAACTTAATTATAAAAGAAAACACAAGTACAACAGGGAAAAAGGGGGGAAACTTTAAAAAATAAAGACGCAAAGAATGAATGGAAAAAGTAGAACCATAAACACCTAAACAAGAATGTTATAAATGATAACTAATTAAGGGTTTGCTGAAATCAGATGTGCTGGACCAACAAGGGTAGATAAAGAAGAAGAAGGAAGTGGAAGAGGACAGAGAAGTACAAAATTAAGAGGAGGAAGATAAGAAGTAGAAAGAGAAGAAGCAGATCATCTATACATCAACTAACAACCACATGAAACACTCACCACACAACTTCCTCTGTGAGTTGACAGAATATGTGTCTCGGTCACACCCTTTGCCGATGTGCTTCGTAGTCAGGGTAATCTTCACATTGACCTGTGTTGGTTTGCAGTCACCGTCGCACAGCTTCAAACTGGCACCCTCCGCCAGCCTCTGCTGCCCGGATCCAGCTCGGTATCGGATGATGTCCTGCAAGCCTGACCAGCCACTGACGCACTTTTCCACGACTGCCAGATTTATGAACACTGACTGAGATCTCCGATTCCCGCAGTCAGTGGCAACAGCCTAGACAGATTCAGGAAACAAAGCATATTAAGGGAAACAATTTCTACAAACAAAATATAAAGTAAAGCAAAGGACGTTTTTTCACACCTCTAGGCGTAATGGGTATATAGGGCTAGACCTATATTTTATAGACCAAACAGCACTTGGTGGATGATGTGGTCAGCATCCTGGTGGCAGCCTTTACTTCCCAGGATGATCCTGGCACCCACTCAAGGCTGGGTCAACCTGGGAGCTTAGGTCATTTTTGAAAAAAGTCCGAGCCCTGTCAGGAACCGAACCCATGACCTTCCAATCCGCAGGCGAGCGTCTAGCCACTAGACCATAGCGGCTTGGACAAACAAAATATTCAAAAAGAAATGTGTTTGCTTAGAAATTAACAGGCGAAAATTGGCACAGGCAGTAGCGTTTCTTGGAAAACAAAACACTTTTACCGTATTAAACAATATAAATTTTTGGAAAGTTATTTTAAAGTGAGAGTGCCTTTTCCTGAAAGGCGAGGAACCAGTCTGCACACACGTAAAGTCAGACCTGTAAAAATGGATGTGTGCATAAAACTCAAGTTATGGAACAAGGCTAAATTCTAGAAGTGTGTGAGAAAAACAAAACTTTCAGCTGGAGTTTACAGTCAGTGAGGGAAAAGAATAACTTTGGAGAAAACAGTGATGGGGGCAGGTGATGATGGACACAGGATATCAAGGACAACCTGGGCATGACAGTTCACAAAATTGACAGGGAACTGAGTGACTTTCCTGAATGCTGTAAGTGGTATGTACACATCCAACTTACAGATCTGACTTATTTGTTGTATGCAGATAGTTGGTTTCCTGTCTCTCGTGTAGATGCACTCCAACTTCGAAGGAAGCCCTATTAGTGGAATCTTAAGACATGCCAGCTGGAGAAGCAGTGGCTCTACTCTTCCAGAACAGGGCCCCTAAACCCACATGGGATAGAACATGCTGTAATGACAGCAATGTTCTGCAAAGGACCTGCTAAATTATGACAAACACTGTACTCCAACAGTCATCTGCCATTACTGCTACATTTTATACATTTTGCAGTGTAGGAAGGGGAGATCTTTAGGCCTGAAAAATTAGGGCCGCATGGCTAGTGCCGTCACCACAGTCTGTGTAGGGTATGATTCTATTTCTGACCCAGACAGAAAAACCACACCCTTACAGAGCATTCGAATCTGGGTCTCCTGCATGAGAGCCAAGTGTTCTTAACTGTTTGGCCAGCTTCTTATCTCAAACAGTAACCTACATAGTATTTTATCTCTGCTACATAATGAGAAAGACTGTAATTAAACAGCAACCTGCATGTTATATCTCCTAGTGTAAGGTTTACCTCATACCCTATTCACAAAACAACAAACATAATGAGAAAGACTGTACTTAAACAGCAACCTGCATGTTATATCTCCTAGTGTAAGGTTTACCTCATACCCTATTCACAAAACAACAAACAACCACTTACCTCAAGAATGAAATTCCGGTGGACACTGTATTTAAGCGGCTCCTTGTTCCTCACCACGCCCGTGGAGGTGATCTCGAAAGGCACCCCCTGTGTGATGAGCTCGTAGCCACAGATGGTTCGAAAAGCCTCAGACTTGTCCTGATCGCTGGCGTGGATCTGAACAATGGAGTCATACATCTTGTCTTCCTCAACATAAGCAAAGTATGACTCGTTATCAAACTTTGGGGCAAATTCGTCCACATCCAGAACTTTGATCATAATATAGGCCCTAAAAAATATAAGAATCGGTTTGTTTTTAAAAAACAGCATACAGCACAAATAATGGGTTGCATTCTGTGGAAACATTATTATTATTCTGTGTTTGCCACTAAAGAGCCACTGGCACGCTATGTTGCGATACTTTCAACTTTAGTCCAAATGTATTCAATTTCAGCAAATTCTTAATTAAGGAAGGGAACAAAACCAATCGAATACAGAGAAAAGTGGCTGGAAAAAAAAACCAACATTTTTTTTATAAGAGATAGGGGAAATGACATGGAGTAACTTGATGACTACAAAGTCTCACATTAAGCACAAACTCTATAGCTTCAGCAACAGCCCTCTGAAATACCCTAAACAACTGCACCTATAAACCAACTGACAGGAATTAGACACTGAACCCGCGAGCATGAGAATGCAATGTAAATGGCTCAAACATTTAGCCATGGATTCACAAACACAAGAACTCAATATCCCAGTAATGAAACTGATAAACTGATAAATGATCAGATGTTTTGGCCATCTGACAAGAATACTGTGCTACCAACTGCCAAAAGCAGCCACGATGAAGAAATATAATGGACACTTGTCAACCTATGGGATCAGTCGTTACTAAACATTCAGCCCCGTCTGGGTCTAAAGTCACCGCTGGTGCCCCACAGCTGGCCATGCAATGGGCCTGATCCCCAACCTCTGCAGGAAGCAGACAGGACAGTGCTGCAGTATATGCTTGGGAGTCTCTCTACTCCGCACTCACAAGTGGTAGATTCTCTTATGCCTGTTCTGTGTAGGTGTGCCCAAAGACTGCAGTGTTCACTGCCTACAAACTCTTGTCTGCACAGAATGAAGTCACCTTCGATTCTAATATCCAAATATCCTGTTTGGTTTCAGGGCCTCATTGGGGAGGGGGGAAATAGATCAACTGCCCACCTAACACGCGCATGTTGTCAACTAACTAGGGCGGTTTCCTTCAAAGTCAGTTCTGTAAAATTATCGTGCATACAAAATTCAAGTTCCAGAACAAGACTAAAGTCAAGAAGTTGGCAATGAATTAGAACTTTCTGCCGGAGTTTACAGAAAGGGAAACGCTAAGAATTATATAAAAATGTCTTGTTTCCAGGTGGCAGAATTTTGTATGCCTATTCTGACTTGGTAAGAGCTCTGAGACTTCAACAAAACAAACTCAAGCAAACAGCAAAATAGGTGAAATGATCATAAACAACAAAAACACTTCAACATCCACCTATAAAACAAAAGCAATAGGAAGCTTCCTTCCCTATATTGGCTGATGAGAAACCCTTGATCAAGGTGAAGTACATGTGCTGTTTATTTTTATGATTTGACATGTTAAGAGAAGGACTGGACTCGAGAAATTTGTTAAAACTAGCAAGACTAGTGGAAAGAGAGCAGAAGGAAAGCAAAGAAATAAATACTAGGATGGCTTGGCCAGGTGGATGTGGTGAGACAAGAACACTGACCTGATCAGTGTTTCTGGTGATCCTGTGAAATGGAGAAACATGACTGCCTATGCTTAACAAAATAGCACATTATGATGAACAGGGTGAAGAAAACACAACACCAAAGAAGGTAAAATGACCCCAAACAACAATTCTTTTTATCTTACTTGCTGGACTGCTTGGGTGGGCTGCCGCAGTCCTCTGCCATGATACCAAATTTGTAGTAAGGGTGCTCCTCATAGTCTAGCTTCTCTCCCTCCCTCACACGGATCTCGGCGGCTCCCGTCAGCTTGTTCCTCACCACAATCTCAAAAGGCAGAGGTTTGGTTCTCGGGTGTCTCTTATTGTTCACGATGATGTAGTTACAGATATACTCTGGGTGGGAAGAAAGTTTCAATTAGCTTTGAATACCTGACTGGATTTGAGTCAATTTCACCAGCGTTGAACACAACACCTAACAGTTTCAGGTCTCATCCCCGTGTGGGTTCCGGGGCCCTATTATTGGGAAAACAAGAATAGACCCACTGCCTACCCAAAAGCATGTTGTAAAGTCGACTAATTGAAGTCGGAGTGCATCTTCAAAAAACTATTACCAGCACTGAATTTTACCTTAAAGTTCGAGGTCAACTTTTGCAAGTTTTGAGCACATGATCAGATTCAGGTCTGTTTTTACCACTGTTGAACAACCAGCCTCACATTTTCAGGTCAGCATTTACTAGTTTTTACAACTCAACCCTACAGTTTCCTGTCAAATTTAACCAGTGTTGAGCACCTGACCTAATAGTTACAGGTCACCTTTCACCAAAATTGAACACTTGATCCTACAGGTTTAAGTCAACTTATACCTGTACTGAACACATGGCCCAGGTTAACCTTCACCAGTGTTAAACATCTCACCTACCATTTTCAAGTCAACTTTTGCCAGCACTCAACACTTAAAAGTGCCATGTCAACTGTTATTTTCTTTTTCAGTGATGATCAACATTTGCTATATGAAGATTCTGGCATGAATTTTAGGCAGGATAGTGTGTGCCTAGGTTTTTTTTTAAGAATAGTCTGTCGCTTTTGCAGAAGAGTCTTGTAAGAAGTACTTTAGAGTTTGGTTGTCCGCAATTTCGCCAGTGCTGTTTAAAGCTTAACTTAGCAATCTCAACTCATGTTTACCCATTTGGACAACACATCAAGCAATTTCAAGTAAACATTTACCAGTAGTGACCAAGCTATTCCCTATAAACTTTTTGCTTCAGATAAAAATACTTGCCCTAACGAATCCTCTGATAATGCGAACACATTTTACGAGCAATAGCTGATCTATAATTATACTGGTCAGGCCAGATTCCAAGTACAGTAAAGTCTACATGTCTCTTCACACAGAAGAGGGATTTCCCCTGAATACTTTGCTAAGGGGGATTGGAGGAGGAGAGAAAAGTTAGTTGTGTATCCTTTAAAGGACGCTGCAGAACCAACCCCAGCATTTTTTGGCTGTTGCAGTTTTTCTAGGCAAAATTTATGTTCAGTAGTTTGCCACTGCTTTCTGAACTGTCAGCTCTCGGTACCACTGTCGAAACCAACGCAAGACAAGCCGTCCGCAGCTAGGATCTAACCCGGCACTACGAAGCTCATTCGCAACGCCTAAGCCACAGAAGAAAGAAGAAGAATCAATAACATTTAAAACTGGAACAACAGCTATGAGCATATATGGTTTGGGGCCGCCAGTCAGCAGAATATTTACCCCAAGACTGCTCGAAATATCAATCACCATGGCCAATAAGAAACAATGAAAACTAAACTTAACGGACCATTTCTTCTTTTTCTCTGTTTCTCGATACCAGGGCTAATCAAGTGGTGGCTCGCCAGGGAAATCTGGCCTGCAGAGGCCTAGCAAGGGGCTTGCGGATCAACTGCTTGTTGTACTGTAATAATAATCTTACTAAGCTGGGACTCAAAGCTTCTGGCTCACAACGATCCCCATTTTCAAAATTGTTGGCTCTTTAGTAAAACTAGTTGAATGGCCCTTTCAGTGTCATGTTCTGAAGAGGTATCTGGTCGAGCCTTGGTGTTTGCTACACAGATGCTGGCATTCACAGCCTCAGATATTCCTTCTATCCGTCACTAACATGCACGGCCTTTAGCTCTGCTTCTGTTGCTTCTAAGGGACAGTGCTCTCTTTGGTAGTCTTATATCCTAACCCTTTGATCTGCTTTCTATGTAGTTTAGTGCTGGTTTAATCCCAAACTGTTTCCTGATATTATCATTTCTGAGCCTGTCTCTTCTTGCTGCATTTAGGATTTGTAGATACTTCATCTCTGTTGTCTTAATTTTTTTTTTTTTTTTTTTTGCTATTTATGTCCACATTTGTCACAGGTAATAAAATATTGGCAAACATACTTCATTGGCCACTGAGTGAGCTAAACAAGACTAACTTTTTACAGAAGACAACACCATAGATTTTGAAAAAAAATTTAATAACAGTTCCCAGGTTGGCTGCACAAGAAGCATATGAAGACAACTCGCTGCTTGAATTTTTTACAGACAAAGCTGATTCTACTTACTGGCACCTCCGGCTTCATCAGCATCAGAGGCAGACAACTCTGGTTTCAAATGCACAACCCTTTCGTTTTCTTTCACCTCTCCATGGAATGCAGGCTTGTCATGATCCAAGATCTTCGACCAGATCACAGGCTTGTAGCGATTCACCTCTGCAATAAGATGAGTACAAGGTAACATCTTCACTAGGAAATATATGTTTACTGACAAACTGGGTCAACCTGCGAGTCAATATCTATTCTGAAAAAAAAAAAACTGACTAAGCAGCTTCAAACCCAAGATCTTCAGACTGGCAAGCGGGTAATTACTGATTTAAAATCATCTTTACTTATAGCTACATGTATTTTTAAATGTTAATTTCTTCGTCTAATTTACCATCTTTGGTGAAACTGTAATTAAATATTTAAACTCAGATGCCCCTGAATTCTGCTAAAAGGTGGAGAAAGACATGCTTCGTGCAGAGGTTCCCAGTAGTTAGTGCCATTTGGCTATTTTTTCCAGGTAATGCCAGTGTGTTGGCAAACAAGTAGGCAAACAGACTGGCCACATGGTGAACTGACATATGACAGCTAGATCTTGTGAGGGCTTTTTGGGGGCAAATAAACAGTGTAGAGGCACAAACAGATCATTATGCTCTGAAGAAAAGGGCGCTGCAAGGAATTACCAGGGGAACTGGCTGACGCTCAACACTCAAAGGAAAGGCGAGACGGATATACAATCAGACAGTTACTGGTACTATCGAAATTTGAACTTTCTGCTTGCTGCTAAAGATGGGGACGGAGCGCTTTTGGGAGTATCCCGAGTGCTGGGATGTTGATTCTTAATTAAATATTCAAGCCATTATACTCAAGCGGCTTCTGTATGACACAGTATTTATTAACACTTTATATACAGGCGCAACAAGCTGACATAGGTATGAGTACAGCAAGATTTACTGTGGGATTTTTTTTACTAAGGAGGGAAGTCAAGCATTTATGGACTGAATGATTTGAAGTTAATAGCACTTTAAATGCCAGCCCTAGGAGACATAATCCATTGTTTGTGTAAGTTCCCATAATAATAGTCTTTAATGCTGTTTGAGATTAGGTTTAGGGCTAACTCTAGTCTGAAGCAATATTAAATCTCACAAAACTTTATTATGTTAATAAAAAGGTAAAGTCAAGAGACGTGAACCAGCGTCACTGCACACAGCTATAAACCATAAGTGCTCTGCCACCAGTACAGACAGATGATAAGAAACTGTCCTCTTGTGTCGCCGTCCGCACACAAACTCTGTAACTAAAGAATCGTTCCTCCATTTACTCCAGAGCGTTAACTCTGGTACCCATTACCTAGAGGTTGGGTAAACCCCCAGAAACCGCCCGGTTTTGAACACCGGCAGTAGGCTGCAGCAAGTCGCAGCTGGATTTGAAAGCGAGTCTCCTACTGACTGCGCTAACATGGCCACCGTTTTTATTTTTATCAATATGTGAATGTACAAAAACAATGGGTTGTGTCTCAGGGTCGGTGTTGGAAGCATTGCTGATATGTGCTTCACCAAGAACTATCCTTTTATTTCGTAGTTGGCTAAACCTGACTTCGCTAGGACCGGGTGACAAACTACTTGTGGTCTAGGTTCACGCCTAGTGGTAGGCAGAAAAGAACCATTTCGCCCAGATTTACGGTATTTATCATGGAATCAATGCTGAAGATTTGCGATATCCATAGTAAAGAGCCAAAGGGTTTAAGAACTCATGGTTTCTGGATATTTAAAAAAAATAAATTACAAACTGGAGTGAGGAAGAGAAAAAACTAAGAGAGAAGAAAGTGATGAATGTGAAAAGGGGATAGGTGGGAGGAGAGGCTTACAATTTTAGTAATGGAATAGAGGAGGAGGAGAGAAAGAGAGAGCTAGGGGAAAAAAAGATTCTGACTGACAAAATCAGGATGTGGGAAAGGGAGCAAACAGAGAGAAGACTGAGAAAGTCAATGACAGATGTATTAGTTTCACCCAGAAATAGCATTAGATTCACTAACAGGATGAAGAAAGAGAGAAAGTGCGATACAAAGATCCATATTATTGTATGACTTAGAACCATTTTTATTTTATTCACAAAGTGGGGGTGGAAAAAAATGGTAGTGTAGTAGACAAGAGAGAGAGTGGAGAGGGGTGAGTGAGGGAGAGGGAGAGGGAGAGAGAGAGAGAGAGAGAGAGAGAGAGAGAGAGAGAGAGAGAGAGAGAGTCAACATTTCAGTATGATGATTTCATTTGAATGAGAACTCTGAACTATATTATTTTATTTATTCGTAAACGGGATGAACAGAGAAAGTAACAGAAAGTTAGGGTCTGAGAAGGGGTATGAAAGAGAGAGTAGGGAGGAAGTAAGTAATCTGTAATTGAATCAACTTAGTTATAGTTTAGCAGTGGAGTCCGATTTATTTAGTTAGTACAAGTTCATTCTAATTTTTGCATCTGCAATTTCTTTTAAATGTAAAAGTGTAAAACGTGAGGTTATAATATTATTCGAAATGTCATTTAATTATTAATTTGTTATATTCAATTTGAACTAATACACTGCAAAAAGTTTGTTGTTATTTATAGTCATATTTCGTTTGTCCTATTGTTCGTATCATACGTATGGGTCGTTAGCCTTCGTGTGAGTCATACACAATTAGTTCAATTACTCATTCTTCCCATTCATTCAGACTGACTGAATCCCGTCCATCAAATTTATGACCAACACCCAATAATAGTAAAGTAATGCTTCAAACACATTCATATATAGATACAAATAAACTATTCCACAACAGCTGAGTATGATTAATTAAATTAAGACACACTATTTAGA